GCTGAACCGATCTATTACCACAAACATGTATTGCTTGCCCTGCATGGGTCTGACCATGTCAACAAAGTCCATGGATAAGTGCATGAATGGCCCTTCTGGAATCGAGAGGTGTCCCACAGGGGGAACCATGCCCCATCAAATGTTGCACCTTAGACATGTCTCACAACGATTTAAGACTCTATCCACATGCTGTTGCAGCTTTGGAGCCCAAAATTTCCACTCTTATTCTCCTCAGCACCTCATCTCTTGACTCATGACTTAACCCATGAGCCTCATTTATCAGCAGAGAGAGAAAACCACTGGGAGCCACGAGTAGCCCCTCATGGTTCCTCCACCCTCCTTCACTATCTCTAACTGCTCCTCTCTGAAGCCATAGCTGAGATTCAACATCTGGAATTCATCCAGCAGCCAGGACAAGTCCTTGAGGGTTATTTGCTCCTCTGCCTCTATGTCATGCACAACCATAATTGCTTTTTTCACCTGCAGAGGCAGCACTTTTTGCTGCTTGGTCAGCAGCTGCATTTCCTTGTGTGACCACTGAATCATCTTTTTGATGAGTGGCACACTTGATAATAGCAAGGGCTTTTGGCCTCATCATTGCTGTTAACAGCTTCTTGATCTGGTCCCCATGCAACATAGACAAACCATCAGCTTTCTTGAAGCTTCTTCCTTTCCATGCTGAACCAAACAGATGACATGAGCAAAGGCTGAATCTGTATACACATTAGCACGCTTGCCTTCAGCAAGCTCACACACATGAGTCAGAGCTTTCAGCTCTGCCAGCTGCGCCAAGCAGGGCACACTGTTGACTACACACCACCTGCATTTTGCAATCTTTCTCCTCTACCACAGCAAATCCCACTTTGAGAGCCTCTACTTCTCTAAAGGACGATCCATCCACAAACGTCATACCCACAGCCTATAGAGGAACAGCACTCAAATCAGAGCATAATCTGACATATCTTTCTGCCTCAGCCACACAATCATGTGACTCTCCCTCAAAAGACAGTGGAATGGAATCAGCTGGATTTTTCACTTTACACATCCGCAGTGTCATATCTGGATACTCAAGAAGTCTTTGATAGTCACCGAGGCATTCTGTAGTTAACACAAACTTACCTCTCTCAATCAAGTTCACCAGTTTTTGATGAGACAAAATCTCCACAGGGTAACCCATTGTCAAGTCTGATGCTTTCTCATATATCAAATGTGCTGCAGCCAAGTGATGATAACAAGGTGGCAGTCCCAGCTCAACTGGAGTTAAAGCCGGAGAATAATATGCTATAGGCTGTGCATGTGAACCCACTCCTGTCTTTTGGGTCAGTACCCCACAGGCGTGGTTCTGTCGATATGACACATACAACAAAAATGGTTTCTCATAGTCTGGGAGAGCGAGAGCCAGTGCTTGCTGCAATAATGATTTGGTGTCTGAAATGCCATGTTCCCTTCAGAAGTCCATGTCAACTTCCCCCGGAGGTTTCCCACACCTCCAACATTTCCTTTACCGTGGTGGGCTTAGGTACCCTGGACACCGCTTGCAACTGTGAGGGGGACACAGCTTGTGTCCCCTCTCTGATCTATCTACCCAAATACTCCACCTGGTTCTGACAATACTGCAGTTTGTCTAGTGAAGATTTATGTTTTCGTTCAGCTAGCATTGTTAACAAAGTCATGGAATCTTTGTGGCATGGCACCCGCTGAGGCAGACATGTTTGCGCGTTCCACTCTTGAATGCCAGCTTTTTCTTCGTTTTCTTGTTTTTTGTGTTTACTTTTTCTGCAGTGCACAAATGTCATGCACCGCTAACATACAACAGACAGGCAGTGCTGGATATCGCCAACTCACATAGCCACTGGGAATTTACTGGTTTCATACCACTGGAGCTACAACTCATTGTCCGCTCCTGCAACAACAACAATGACGACAGCCACCATCACCCTCAGACAGCCCCCGGAGCACCAGGCACAAGCGAGCAGGCTGAAATCAGGAGAGCAACCCAAAGATGGAGACGCAAACGAGGCAAGCATGCAGGACTCCATGCTAGGCTAAAAGCTTGCGCTACTCGACTGCCATTACCCAGCCTCTTCCTAGCTAATGTACAGTCTCTGGAAAACAAACTGGATGAGCTAAGGGCTAGGATTACAGCACAACGGAAAATCAGAGAATGCTTTGCTCTAATTGTCACCGAGACTTGGCTTTCTGACAGAGTCCCAGATTCTGCCTTTCAGCTAGAGACTCACTCTGTACATCGAGGAGACCGCACTGCTGTTTCAGGGAAGGTAAAAGGAGGCGGTGTGTGTGTGTGTTTATCAGGATTTTTCCCAATAAAGCCTTGATGTCTCCCATTGTCAAAACTGTGGCAATAGTTTCCTCCTCAAATGCAGCTATCCACTTTCCAGCCCTATCTTGAGGGAGGTGCTGCACCAAACCCTCTAAATTCATTGTCAGCCAGGGTGCATCATCGATCCCATTTGGCTGCGCCAATTATCCACTGGTATTAAGTGTAGTCACTGCATCCACTGCATGTGACGTGAGGGAGCTTTGGTTTAGCCCCTCTGAGGTCATATCTTTTCTCCCTTCCTCCTGTTCCCTTGGGAGTAGACACCTTCCTGGACTCAGGCAAACAATCGAGGGAGTGATAATTCCTCGAATCAAATGGGTCAAAGCCCTCTCCTCCACTAGCCTTCACCCCGTCGTCCATCTCACTGCACTGCTGGCCCTCGTCTTTTTCAGCATCTGTCAATATTTTCACAATCTGGTCGTGCAAACCACTTAAACGTTTGCGGGCCTCCCCCTGTGGGAGATTCAGTCCCCTCTAATAGGCGTCTGGGAGATCGTCGAGCTCATCCCTCAGCTCCTCCTTCTCCTGCTGTCCAAAACTGGTCGCTTTTTCCAGTTCTTCCACTGGGTAGATTTTTTTTCTCAGATTTCATCACATAGTCACCTCTGAACCTCAGCTGTCAAGAGTCAAGAAACTTTATTGTCATTATGCATAGCACAACGAAAATTTTTTCTGGCAGCTTTCATCTTAAAAGGCAGACATATTATTTACATAACACATTTGTATGTCAATATAAAAATATGAACAAATAAAAAGGGATGTATGGGACCTAAACAGGTCAGCAGCAAGAGTGTAGTAACATTATAAGGTGCAGCTCAGTGCAAATCTCAGTCTTTAGGAAGAGGTGTGAGGTCCAGTGTTCTGTGTCTGTACATAGGGGGGAGGTTGTGTGTGTGACTAGGGGTTGGGGGGGTGATTGATTTCACAGCTCTGGGGAAGAAGCTGTGTCTCAGTCTGTTTGTTTTAGTCTTTATATTCCTGTACCTTTTCCTGGAGGGAAACAGACTGTTGCCTGGGTGGGTGGGGTCTGCAGCAATCCGTCTGGCCCTCCTCTGGATCCGGTCAGTGTATAATGAGTCCAGATACAGAAGAGGACTCCCTACAATGCCCTGAGCTGTTCTCACCACCCGGGTCAAGTCCTTTCTGTCCTGTGCAGTGTAGCTCCCGTACCACACTGTCGCACTGAGACAGAGGATGCTCTCTACTGTCGCTCTGTAGAAGTTTGCAAGCAACTGAGAGGAGAGACTAGCGCGATTGAGCTTCTTAAGGAAGAAAAGCCTTTGCTGAGCTTTCTTCACCAGGTAGGATGTGTTCAGAGACCAGGTCAGGTCAGTTGTGATGTGGATGCCCAGGAACTTGATGTTATCCACTTGCTCCACCACCTCCCCGTGTATGAGAAGAGGAGCATATTTTGTCTTCCTGGACCTCCTATAATCCACAATGACTTCCTTAGTCTTGTTGGTGTTCAGGACAAGATTGTTGTCTGAAAACCACCTTGTCAGGTGCTAGATCTCCTCTGTAGTGAGTCTCATCATTGTCTGAGATGAGACCCACTATGGCGGTGTCGTCTGCGAACTTCACTATTGTTGCATAGGCATCTGAGCAGCACACAATGGTGGCTGGTCTGTTCCCTGAATGAGCTTCTTTTTCTGTTCAAGCTGATCTTTGACGTACTTGACGTACTTAGTGTGTGTCCTTACTGCACACACACACTCTCTTTGTGATTGTCTGTTTGGCTGGCTGTGAGACTGTCGCACAGGGACCGCCTACAAAGGGCAGCACTGAAGAAAGGCACTACAAAAATATTTCGTAGCTTCACTCTTAGATACATTTTGCTAAAGTAAGTTTTGTGGTACCAACAGAAGACCAGTGATAAGTGATTTTGGTGACACCACCCAAGGAGTGAATATTTTTGTAGTATCTCTTTTTGGTGTTGCACTTTTTAGATGGTCCCTGTGCCCTCATCTTGTTCATTGTTGTGGGTATACCTGAATGAAGCCCTGAGGAATGTAATGTAAATATGCCCTATTTTTGAAGGGCAGAAAGCCATCGTTTTAACAAACTGATGAAGCGATAATATTATGAAATATTATATAGTGTTTGGATATTTGCTGATTATTACTATCTAAGCTCCAAAGCCCAAAAATTCAGGACAGCCATAGAAACATGCCACTTGTAATTTACCACAGCCCAAGGAAATGTATTGAAATGTCATCTTGTAATTTACCACAGCCCAAGGAAATGTATTGAAATGTCATATCTTATTTGACCAAGAGCCCAAAGATGCTCAGTACACAATCATATATGACAATGAAAAGCATGAAATCTACACATTTTACCTGGCAAAGATTGGGAATTTTTGCTTTAAAAAATTGCTAAAAGGATTCACTGATTTTTCAAAATAGTGTGTTAAATTTCTGTTGATTGTTGCCGCACTATTATTTAACATGAAGGGATATTACTTCTGATAATGGGATAGCTGCGACATATATGTTAAAAATAGAATGTGTGTTGAACCAGGTGGGCTGGATCCTATCTTGTCTCGATGAGCTGGCATTAAACCCTCAACCTCCTGTTGCTGTGCTACCACTTGGGACAGGAAATGACCTTGCCAGGACCCTCAACTGGGGAGGGGTGTGTACAAACACCGACAAACACAACCCGCACACAAATAAAGTGTATGCAAAAGTACAAAGTGTATAGTTACCTGCTGTTGGAAATCTGTGCTATCATCACGTTTTAATATTGTGAAATCTCGTGGCACAAGAGCTCGTTACATCACTGCAAACCACAATTAAGGTTTGTATTAAATTCAGTGTCTGCCCCTATACTTTCAGTATTTAACAAAGCCAATGGAAACAGCCTTGCATGCTCTTTGTATTTCTGTGGTACAAAATAGCTTCAACAGCTGCAAGCCTAACTTCTCAATGTCAAATGAAGAATGGAATATGGTGAAATTACAATGAATGCTCACTATCATTACTTACAGGCTAAAATTAACAGCACATTGTAAATATATTTATTTTCTGTATTCTAGGGTTATACAGATGAACCTCTGTCTAAGATCCTGTCCCATATTGAGGATGGAACTCCTGTCCAGCTAGACCGATGGAATCTACGGGTTGAGCCATACCTCAGTGCAGGGGCTGAGCTAGATGAACAACAAACAGATAAGGTCAGTGCACTTACGCACACTTGCAAACAAAAGCTATATATCTGTATACTCATTGTGGACACTTCCACTCCATTTCTTTAAAAACAAATGTACTGTGACAGACATCTTTACTCCTTCAAAAGTGTAGTAGTTGATCCACAGCAGTCTGTTCATCTAGCACTTTGATTCAGAAGAACTGCATACCTCGTCCTGTTGCCAAGGGTCACCAGGACCAAGATTAGATTTTTAATCTACGTGTAGTCAGTGTGTTTTGATTTTTGTGTGTGTGCTCTTTCAGCTTCCTCTAGATGTCTTCAACAATTACTTCAGCCTTGGATTTGATGCCCATGTGACACTAGGGTTCCATGAATCAAGAGGTGCATGCATATTACTAATGAGGACAATGAAAAACAAATGTTATTGGTACTTAGCGCACATTGTTATATAGTGTGTGACGGCTTTTTCATTTACTTTGCTACACACTGTATATATGAAATGTTTCTCATTGTCTGTCACTGTTTTAGAAGCCAACCCAGAGAAGTTCAACAGTCGTTTTAGGAACAAGATGTTCTATGCTGGGGTGAGTGCATATCCATATTAATCCTTGTGTGGCGTTCACTTTTTGGACTGCCCAGAGGTGTGTGCTCCTCCCTGGGTAAAGTGGAGCAGAGGCTGGGGGTGTTAGTCTGAAGCCCCGGATAGGAGCATAGGCTGCCCAGAGGTGTGTGCTCCTCCCTTGGTAAAGTGGAGCAGAGGCTGGGGGCTGTCAGTGTGAAGGCCCGGATAGGAGCATAGGCTGCCCGAGGTGTGTGCTCCTCTCTGGGTAATGTGGAGCAGAGGCTGGGGTGTCAGTGTGAAGGCCCGGATAGGAGCATAGGCTGCCCAGAGTTGTGCGCTCCTCCCTGGGTAAAGTGGAGCAAAGGCTGGGGGTGTCAGTGTGAAGACCTGGATAGGAGCATAGGCTGCCCGAGGTGTGTGCTCCTCCCTGGATAAAGTGGAGCAGAGGCTGTGGGTGTGGGGAGCTCCAAGGTGAGCTAGCCAGCACATTGTGAGTGATTTTGGAGCACTATTAGTGGGTGTACTAGGCAGCATATGGTGACCGTGTTTGGAGCTCTGTTTTCAGGTTGGCGGAGGAGCAGAGTCCCCCCCCCCCCTTCCCAGAGGTGTGTGGGGAGCTCCAAGGCGAGCTAGCCAGCACATTGTGAGTGAATATGGGGCACTATTATTAGTGGGTGTACTAGGCAACATGTGGTGGCCGTGTATGGACCTCTGTTTTCAGGTTCCCGGAGGTGTGTGGGAGCTCCATGTGGGTGAGGTGCAGTACAGCGTGGCCATGTTTGTAGCTCTCTGCCCGGACAGAGAGAGGGGCGGAGGGTCCCTGCTTGGGACTGGTATCTTTTTTGACTTGTGTCTCAAGGACAAACTGTGGGAGGTCTATTCTTGTTCTTGATTGTCTCTGAAATACTATATTTTGTTTGGTTTTTTAGGTACCTGGATCTTGTTTTCTCAAGATATGTGTGGGGTGTTTATTCTTATCATGTCATGTTGTTTTGTCCTTTACTGCTGCTGGAACACTGGAATTTCCCCACTGTGGAATCAATAAAGTTCTACCTACCTTAGAAAATATTCGGACTCCTGTGCCCCTGGTACACTGTGTTTGAACTTTGAAAATTTTCTGACCCGTGGTCATGGTACTCTGCTGTCGGAACTAATAATAATCTCTAAGTGCCGACAACACAATTTCTGTTCCCACACAGTGTAGTACCAGTGGCACGTGGCCGGGCAATTTTGAATTGTGTAGCCCAGGGGGGAGTGCTTAACCCTTGTGTTACGTTCACTTTTTGGACCGGAGGTGTCTGCACCAATACTCTGCACACCAACATTCCCTCTCAGTACTGTATTTAAACACCGGAGTACCAGGACCACGAAAGCCAGAAAGCTGTTAAAATGTCAATAGAGCAGAGTATCAGGACCACGAAAGCCAGAAATTTGTCAGAAGTATTAAAACAGCAGAGTACCAGGACCACGAAAGCCAGAAAGCTGCCAAAATGTCAAAACAACAGAGTACCAGGATCACGAAAGCCAGAAAGCTGCCAAAATGTTAAAAGAGCAGAGTACGTTGTTTTACTGAGGAAGGTGCATGGCAGCCAAAATTCTGTGTTAATGGGGTCCTCCCCTTCCTCAATAAATGAGGTTTCCCCCGTTTCTCACAGCAACACTCCGCATAATTTCTGAAACCCAGTTTCTGGAAATGTAGTCCTTCAGAGCTGACACCCTGACTCACCCCAGACACGTTGCCCGCCCAGAGGGGGTCTCCAATCGGCCTTTGTTATCGTGTTTCCTGCCTCCTAATGATGATATTTCACACTTTGAAGCTTTTTCCTCCCTTGCACACAGCAATGAGTGACTGACTGATTGGCACCCATGATCCGCCATCATAGGGCCCACGCTGGTCAGCCAAGTGCCGGGGTTTGGGTGGACGACTCCTCGGGCCTACGGATTAGTCTCTGTGGCCAGGAGGCCCCCGGGCCCATTCCTCCGCATTCCTCCTGGGCCGTCTGACTGGTAGTGAGACCGAGAAGCCCTGTCTGCCCCAGAGGGCCTACAATAGGAGCCCCAGACATGTTGCCCGCCCAGAGGGGGTCTCCAATCGGCCTTTGTTATCTGGTTTCTTGCCTCCTAATGGTGATTTTTCACACTTTGAAGCTTTTTCCTCCCTCGCACACAGCGGCGTGTGACTGACCAACTGGCACCCGTGATCCGCCATTGGAGGGCCCCCGTCGGCCGGCCAAGTGTCGGCATTCGGGCAGACGGCTTCTCTGGCCTGCGGATTTGCCTCCCTGGCTGGGAGGGCACGTGCGGAGGGGGGCCCTGGGCCCATTCCTCTGTGTTCCTCCCGGGCTGCCCGACTGGTAGAGAGACCGGTACAGTGAAACTGCGAATGGCTCATTAAGTCAGTTATGGTTCCTTTGATCGCTCACGTTGCTTGTATAACTGTGGCAGTTCTAGAGCTAATACATGTCAACAAGCGCTGACATCTGGGGATGTGTGCATTTATCAGACCCAAAACCCATGCGCGCTTTGGTGACTAGATAATCTCGAGCTGATCGCTGGCCCCCGTGGCGGCAACATCTCATTCGAATGTCTGCCCTATCAACTTTCGATGGTATTTTCTGTGCCTACCATGGTGACCACGGGTAATGGGGAATCAGGGTTTGATTCCGGAGAGGGAGCCTGAGAAACAGCTACCTCATCCAAGGAAGGCAGCCGGCACGCAAATTACCCACTCTCGACTTGGGGAGGTAGTGACGAAAAATAATACAGGACTCTTTCGAGGCCCTGTAATTGAAATGAGTATACTTTAAATCCTTTAATAAGGATAAATTGGAGGGCAAGTCTGGTGCCAGCAGCCATGCTAATTCCAGCTCCAATAGCGTATCTTAAAGTTGCTGCAGTTAAAAAACTCATAGTTGGATCTTGGGATTGAGCTGACGGTCCACCGTGAGGCAAGTTACCGTCTGTCCCAGCCCCTGCCTCTCGACGCCCCCTCGATGCTCTTAGCTGAGTGTCCCACGGGGTCCAAAACATTTACTTTGAAAAAAATTTGAGTGTTCAAAGCAGGCCCGTTCGCCTGAATACCGCAGCTAGGAATAATGGAATAGGACTCCGGTTCTATTTTGTGGGTTTTCTCTCTGAACTGGGGCTATGATTAAGAGGGATGGCCGGGGGCATTCGTATTGTCCCGCTAGAGGTGAAATTCTTGGACCGGCACAAGAGAGACGAAAGCGAAAGCATTTGCCAAGAATGTTTTCATTAATCAAGAACGAAAGTCACAGGTTCAAAGACGATTAGATGCTGTCGTAGTTCCGACCATAAACAATTCCAACTAGCGAGCCAGTCACGTTAATAATGCTCATGAGCTTATAACCTGCATTTGCTTTATCTGGTAAAGCTGATGATGATGAGGTCTTGGGGCCGAAATGATCTCAACCTATTCTCAAACTTTAAATGGGTAAGAAGCCCGGCGTGGAATGCGAGCCACCTAGTTGGGCCACTTTTGGTAAGCAGAACTGGCGCTGCAGGATGAACCAAGCGTCGGGTTAAGGCACCCGATGCCGATGCTCATCAGACCCCAGAAAAGGTGTTTGCTGATATAGACAGCAGGGCAGTGGCCATGGAAATCAGAATCCGCTAAGGAGTGTGTAACAACTTGCCGAATCAACTAGCCCTGAAAATGGATGGTGTCAGGCCTATACCCGCAGCAGGAGCTGCGAGGGCTATGCTGCAATGAGTAGGAGGGCAGCCGTGGTGAGCACGGAAGCCTAGGGTGCGGGCCCGAGTAGAGCCACCAGGGGTGCAGATTTTGGTGGTAGTAGCAAATATTCAAACGATAACTTTGAAGGCCGAAGTGGAGAAGGGTTCCTTGTGAACAGCAGTTGAACATGGGTCAGTCGGTCCTAAGGGATGGGAAAACACCGTTTGGAAGGGTGGGGCCATGGCCTACG